AAGAATTCAACAATATATCCATCTGGTCCTGGTTCCTAGTCATTACTCATACTGAAAAACACTTTTTTAATCCCATCCCTAGTGATTGGAGTAAGCAACAACTCAGCATCACCAGCAGTCAACTTATGACACATTAATTCCTCAAAAAACTCACTAGGGAGCTGTTGAACTGTAGCATCAGCATTCCCTAAAAGCCCTTCATCGAAATTCACTGCAACTTTACTCATTGTTTTCATATCAGTTACTGTCTCCCCGCCATCATTTATTAACTTCTGAATAGTCTGCTTATGATTCCTAGCCTTTACCATACCATGGACGAATCCAGTGTTTGCATCCCCTCTAGTGATCCATTGAACCCTCGACTTTTTCCAATAGAATTACTCTTCAACATTTTGAAGCTCCCTACATAGCTTCTCCTGCTCAAGTACAACAGGTGAGTTAACCTCAGGGGTATCATATAACATAGCACTCTGTAAATCTTCCACCATTGTTTCTGCTTCTCGTGTTCTAACCGACAAATCAGAGTAGACATCTTTGTTAAGGCTTTTGAGCTTACGTTTAATCTCCCCTAGCTTTCAATATAGAATACGATAATGCTTCCCAGTAGCCTCCAGTTTCCAAGCCTCCTTCAAAAGCTCTTCATATTGCGGATATTGTCTCCAAAACAAGAAAAAACTTAAAAGGTTTTGGTAACCAAGATAGTCTAGAATCAGTGTGGAAAAAAAGTCCACAATGATCCGACACTCCAGGTGAAATAGTTTGAACCAAACTGTTAGGAAACACATCCAACCAGTTCTTAGTAACCAAAGCATGATTTCTTCGAGCAATTAGATTATTGGCTTGTTTGTTCCACCAAGTGAACCACGAGCCTAATTTCTAATGATCTATGAGGTTCATATCCTCAATCCAATGACAAAAATCAACCATACTTTGATTAAAGCCAGGGAAATTAGAGGCTTCACTACTCTCAACAATAGCATTAAAATCCCCAAAACAAATTCCAAGCTCACTAGCCACTCCAAGCCTTCTCAACTCATCATATAACACTACTATGTCCTGCACCTTATTGGGACTATAAACTGCAGTGACTAAGCACGACTATGTGTCAGATTGAACACGAACACTAATAAAATGCTCCCCCATTCCAACTTCAAAAACATTCAAATAAGGTTTCTAGAACAACCTAACCTGACCAGATGGAGAATATTTATAGTTATCTAACAACTTCCAACTACTAAACTACTTATTCCTTATATCATCAGCATTATTTTTTATTACTCTAGTTTCCAGAATAGCAAAGAACTCTACTTGTAATTTAGCTACTTGTTTATTTAAGTATCTATGTTTCTCAGGGACATTGAAACCCTGACATTCCAGCATAAGAAACTTCATTTACCTCTCTTCTTGTTCTTCCCACCCTTCTTGGGAGAAGCAGGAATCACAAGCTCAATACTCTTTTGATTCTGTGGCACACGAGAACTAACAGCTGAAGTCGGTATCCTTACATTGATGCCTTTATCCAGACCTGCATAAACATTTTTACCCCTACGAACCACCAATTTAAACTCATCTGCATCCACTAGATCATTCCTCAAAGGCGTAAAAGAGCTAGCATCATCCACAACCTTGTCCCCCACCAGTGAGCTACCCAAGACCTCCTGAAAACCTGATGCCAGAGCTCGAGAACCCCCTGTACCACCCGATATGGAAGGAACAATCACTATGTCCACTACCTTATTTCCTTTATCAACTGTATTCGTACTAACCACAGATTCCTCCCCAATCCCAGGCAAGAGAGTAGTTTGTGTCTTGCCACACTCCAACCCTTCACCCATTACATGACCAAATTCAGCACATTGTTGACATTTAGCTGGAATATTGAAATAGTGGACAAACAAATTCAACCTCTCCTTGCCTTCAGGAAGAATCCAAAGTTCAATAAGGAAAAGTGAGTCTGTACCCATATGAACTCCAAGTTTAGTTGCTTGATCCATCCATAAGGGCGTACCCAGCAAACTTGCAACCCTTCTTAAACCCTCCACTGTCATATAATCTAGCAGTAATTCTCAAATTCTAACCCAGATCAACAACTTAGTTCAATCCATCTTCACTGATTGAATCCCAGGACCCCATTTACGAAGGAACAGTGGTATGTTCTCACAATGCCAAGGACCATTCTAAAAAACCCAGGTACTCGATTCTGCACTCTCAAACTGAAACAGAAGTATATCGGTACCAAAAACTGAGACAAACACCCTGCCATCCCTACCCCAGAAACGCTGAGCCTAGCGATGAATGTTAGCAATCGGAGGCACCGCTGAGAGGAATTGACTCACCAAGGCATTACGCCATCTGACCGCTCCTTCGTCCCGGACCACCCTGGGAATGATGAGATCTCCATCCACCAGGTTTGGTGAAATATAGCGAAGACGATCGCCCTCGCCCACGCCATACAGTTGAACCCAATTTGCCGGCTCCGGTGTGAACACCTAAAACCCCGAATTAGGTCAGAAGGAGAGAGAAATAAAAGAGAAGGGAGAGCGTTTCAATTAAAGGTTTACTAGTGTGGGGTATGAACTTCTTTTTGTGTTTCTGGGTTTAGAATTTTGATCCATAACGAGCAATTTAATTCATTCTTCATTCATTGTTAACCTTATTCGAAATTTGTATGAACGTTTTAGAAGTATTTTTCAATGATTCACCATAGGGTTCGCTTTGTTGTCTGCTTGTTTCTACACTTAACATTGAATCCAACCATTATTAATGATTTGTGTTTGTTTTCAACTAAATATAATTTCATGATTAATGACGTTCTCAGTCTTTATTAAAGTTTCTCAATATCATTATTAATGGCATGATAAGACCTGGCAAATTACAACCCGATCCGTTGACCAGACCCGAAACAGCCCGAAAACTAGAAATTTTTGTAACCCGAAATCCAAATGACCCGAACCCGATAACCCGTTATTTTTTGGGTCGGGTTGGGTGGGTTAGCAGGTCGACTCGTTAGACCCGTTCCATTTTATATATTACTCCCAAAATGATAAAATCACTCATAAATTGTTGAGATGTTTAAAAAAATCACAAGGATTTGAATGACATGTTTTGGAGTTTATGGATAATCAAATATCATGTGTTTCTTGCAGTAGTATTACTCTTGTGATTGTTTTTTTTTTTTTTTTTTTACGTTCTAAGTCTTTATTAAATTTTCTCAATATCATTATTAATGGCATGATAAGACCTGGCAAATTACAACCCGATCCGTTGACCCGACCCGAAACCGCCCGAAAACTAGAAATTTTTGTAACCCGAAATCCAAATGACCTGAACCCGATAACCCGTTATTTTTTGGGTCGGGTTGGGTGGGTTAGCGGGTCGACTCGTTAGTCCCGTTCCATTTTATATATTACTCCCAAAATGATAAAATCACTCATAAATTGTTGAGATGTTTAAAAAAATCACAAGGATTTGAATGACATGTTTTGGAGTTTATGGATAATCAAATATCATGTGTTTCTTGCAGTAGTATTACTCTTGTGATTGTTTTTTTTTTTACGTTCTCAGTCTTTATTAAAGTTTCTCAATATCATTATTAATGGCATGATAAGACCTGGCAAATTACAACCCGATCCGTTGACCCGACCCGAAACCGCCCGAAAACTAGAAATTTTTGTAACCTGAAATCCAAATGACCTGAACCCGATAACCCGTTATTTTTTGGATCGGGTTGGGTGGGTTAGCGGGTCGACTCGTTAGACCCGTTCCATTTTAAATATTACTCCCAAAATGATAAAATCACTCATAAATTGTTGAGATGTTTAAAAAAATCACAAGGATTTGAATGACATGTTTTGGAGTTTATGGATAATCAAATATCATGTGTTTCTTGCAGTAGTATTACTCTTGTGATTGTTTTTTGACGATATTTTTGCTTGAATTAATATTTTTACTTTGCTAATGTTTTCTTGATTGAACTACAAGTGCACTATTTTACAAGTGTCGAAGATGTTGGAACTAAGTATTGTGCTCTATAATCACTAAGAGCGATAGTGTAAAGCGATATCAATTGATCGCTAAGTATTCATAAAAAAATATTTGTCATTAGAAGTCACTGTAAGAGGTCATTAATGGCTAGTTATGAACATGATGTGGAAATGTGAATCGTTAATAAAATATTATAAATCAATGATAATGATATTCAAAATCATTAATAATAATTCTATATAACTTAATGATTTCTTCATAAGCATTGATGACGAAAATGTAAATCGGTAACGATTTATCCGAAATTGTTAATTATGATGGGGTATATCAATAATATATTTGCAAAGTTATGGAAATTCCAAATAAAAAATGTCCACTCTACCTCGGTCCATAGCAACCGATTTCGTCAAACTTTAAACGATCATAACTTTGTGCTCCACAATCTTATATTTGCAAAGTTTATTTTGATTTTGCATAAATTTTTGAATACTACAACTTTTACTTGGAAGATATTTTCAAAATAGGAAATTTATTTGCATATAAGGGGTTTTGAAAATAAGGTTAACTTTACTTTTCACATTTCCACATACATTCTCAAAATATTTTTATGAAAAAATTTGTAGTCCTCGGAAAATTATGTGGAATCATAAGAGAATTCAATGCGATCGAATAACCGAGCACAAAATTAAGGCTATTGAAAATTTCAACGCAATGGATCGAGTCTGATGAACTCGATCCACTACCTCAGAAAGTGGATCGAGGCTCTCTTACTCGAACCACTCCAAACTTAGGTATTTTTGGGAAATTTTTTTATAAATGTTGTATTTAGGAATTAATTTTAAGGGTAAATACAATTTATTAGCCAAAGCTTTCATTTTAAACAAAATAATAGCCAAACCTTTTCAAAAACAATTTATTAGCCAAATCGTTAACTATCCATCCGTTTGACTGTCAGTTGACTCTGACGTGGCATTTTATTGCTGAGTTGGATGTTGATTGGTGACGTGGCAAAGAATCAACTATTTAACTGTGCCACATGAATATACATTAATTTATATAATTATCATTTTAAAAAAATAAAAACAAATATACCAACCAATCTAACGCCCCCCTCTCTCTCTCTCTCCAAGACCCGCTTCCGGCCGTCCAACTCCCTGCAAGCAATTTTTCGTTGGTGAATCCCTTGCAAGCACTCACGCCTCCTGCCGCTGAACCGTCATGATCGCCCCCAAGCGATGGCCTCCAATCCTTCGCCACCGTGTTCTTTCGTGCGCGACTCGTCCGCCGCTAGAGAGGGTAAACCCCATGGACGGAGGTCGATTGGGGAGGAAGTTCCTTTTTCAGATAGAGACCGCAACCACCCGCTACGAAACTTTCCAGATCTAGCACCGGTCGATTCTGTTACGGCGATTTCCGATAGCAGAGGGCGAACCGACATCGACAACGACTCAGGAGAGTAGAACGAAATTGATGGTGGTGGTCGAGAAAGCGAAACTTATCTCCTCAACGCCTCCGTCGTTGATGTACCCTCCTTGGGAATCTCGGCCGCCACCTCGGACGGAATTTCTACCTCCAATATTCCATGGCAGCTTCCGCCGCAAACGCCCTCACCGAATACACCCTTGGCAAAAATTTCCCCCTCGCTGGTCGCAATTGATATGGTCATTGGTCACCCCTCTCTCAGCAAAAATATTCCCCTTCCGCGAGGTGAAGGATTAGAGAGGATGGAAGAATTGGACGGAGAAGAGGGAGGGAAAGGGATAGAGGTAGGTTTTTTATTGATATTATTATTATTATTATCAAATAAGAAAATTAATTAATTTAAGATATATCTATGTGGTACAGTTAATTACTGATTTTTAACCACATCAGCAAAAATTGGCCACGTCATAGTCAACTAACAGTCAACTGGATGGAAAGTTAACGGTTTGGCTAATAAATTGTTTTTGAAAAAGTTTGGCTATTATTTTGTTTAAAACGAAAAAGTTTGGCTAATAAATTGTATTTACCCTAATTTTAATTATTGCTGTATTTTGCATATAAGTTTAAGCATGAAATCTGACACCACACGATAAGATAGAAGGAAAAGTTAAAATCATACTTCAAACGACGGCGTATTTACCACAGCACCCATGTGTATCCACTCTTTTAATTAATTAATTTCTTACTCGCGAATTGCCATTCCATGCCGCCATTCTACAGTCCATCGGAAAGCGGGCAGAAAACAAGAGTAGTGGACGGAGAAGGGAAAACATGGGGAGCTTGACCAACAAGCAGCCGAGAATCTTCAGTGGACACCATGGCAACGCTCTGGCGCCGTGCACTCGTACCCACCAGATCGGCGCTCTTTTCCTCGTAGTCGTCACCTTCTTCCTCACTCGCCTCTTTCACCAGTCGTTCTCTCCCTGCACCGCCACTTCATTCGGCGGCACCGACCTTAGCTCCGGCAGGAGCCTCGTGCGTATCTCCGATGCCGGCTACCTGTTCTGGCCTAACCGTGGCTACGGTTCAGTCCTCTCCCTCAAGATCTATGTCTATGAAGAGACCGAGATTGATGGCTTGAAAGAGCTGATGCGCGGTCGAGATGGTAAAATCTCCGCTGACGCTTGCGTTAAAGGCCAATGGGGCACTCAGGTCTGTGTTAATTCTGTTCTTGAATTTCTTCCGTTTTGAATTCATCGTTCCTGTTATTTGTTTGATTAGAGCTTCGGCGAACCGGAGATTGAAGTTGAATTTTGTGGATTGGATTGATGTTGTAGGTTAAGATACACAAATTGCTGTTGAAATCAGGGTTTCGGACTAAGAGGAAAGAGGAGGCCGATTTGTTCTTTGTGCCGACCTATGTGAAATGTGTACGGATGACGGGAGGTCTCAATGATAAGGAGATCAACCAAACTTTTGTTAAAGTAATCACATTTGCTTCCTGGATTATGATTTTTCTATATCTATTGAGTTTTTCTGGCTAATACTCTTCAGGGATTTCAAATTTCTGATTGTGGTTGCCCCACCTCTAATGCTTGAATCGCAGGTCTTAAGCCAAATGCCTTACTTCAGGAGATCTGGAGGTCGAGACCACGTTTTCGTCTTCCCAAGGTAGCTTTTTGTTCCTTTCAAGGAGAAGATTTGAAACATGGTTATAGATTACCGGTAGTTGGTTTCTTCAACCTTACTGCTGGCAAGTAGGGTGTGTTAAGATGTAGAAGGTACTATGATTATTCATCTTGTATGTGCTTAGCATTCCCTTCACTGTTACTGATCTATGTGCATAACTTTCCATGACTTTAGTGGGGCAGGAGCTCACTTGTTTCGTTCATGGGCTACATTCATAAATCGTTCAATTATACTTTCTCCTGAGGTACAAATCGTGTTTCTTGAACAATCTCATGTCTTTGGAACAGTTTATGCCTTATTATCCATTGAAGTGATAGTATGAATTCATGTTTATGATTCCAAGTGGTTGGTTTTTTACTGTATTTTGAGGTGGTGCTATTTTTGGTTGTGTGTTCATTTTTCCTTTACAGCAAACCATGTTAAAATGCCGGGAACTATTGTGTTAGTGCAGGGCGACCGAACTGATAAAAAGGATATAACTGCTTTCAATACGTGGAAAGATATCATCATCCCTGGTAATGTTGAAGATGGAATGACTGTGAGAAGACCTACCACAGTTGAACCTTTACCTTTGTCAAAGAGGAAGTACTTGGCAAATTATTTAGGTAGAGCACAAGGGAAAGCTGGTCGCCTTAAGCTCATTGAGATGTCAGAAAAATTTCCAGATAAAGTAAGCTGTTCTCTCTCTGACACTTTGATGGCCTGGAATGGCTGGTTTTCTTTTCATGTACAATCTTTAGCTGTACATTTTTATCTTGGACTTGAGCTCATTGACTCGATAACTTTCTGTTGCTTCCTTTTTTATGTTTTTGTTCTGCTTATGTTTTCTTTTTCTTGTGCATTGCTTCTATCTATGTGTCTGGCAGGTGTTTGTCGAAGTGCTGTAGACTGGATAGTGCTGTTTGTTGTTTTTCCTGGTTTCAGGCGTTTTTGCTTGTGTGTTGGCCTTTTAAACAACTAAATATTATCTGAATTAAAACGCTGAGACATGAGGATGTTTGGTTAAGCAATTTGCTGTAAACTAAATTGAGGATGCTGTCTCTGTTGTGTGTTTGCATGCTAGTCTTTTATTCCTTTTTCTTGGTTCTGTGGCTAACATATGAAGTGCATCATGGCATTTGGAAACAGTTGGAATGTCCAGACCTGAAGTTCAGTGGACCTGATAAATTGGGAAGGGCTGACTACTTTGAACATCTCCGCAATGCAAAGTTCTGTCTTGCACCACGGGGCGAATCTTCCTGGACCCTTCGCTTTTATGAATCCTTTTTTGTGGTTGGTCTCTTTCTTCCTTCTAGCTCTTGTGGATATTCCTAACATTGTGGCTACAAAGGAATTTCATGCTCATTTGTTTTGCAGGAGTGTGTCCCTGTTATTTTGTCAGACCAAGCAGAGTTCCCATTCCAAAATGTGATCGACTATTCCCAGATATCAATCAAATGGCCATCTAGTCGAATTGGCCCTGAACTTTTAAACTACCTTGAGTCTATACCAGGTAAAAATTGTACACATTGAAGGATTATGTTCAAGTTGGGGAATTGCACGATTGAATTTCTTCTTCTTTTTTTTTTTTTTTTTTTTTCTTTTGGCGTAGATAGAGACATACAGAGGATGATAGCCAACGGGAGGCAAATAAGATGCTTGTGGGTGTATGGTCCCGAATCTCAGCCATGTTCTACAATGCAAGGAATAATGTGGGAACTCCAGAGGAAGGTGAGGCAGTTCCACCAATCACACGAAACATTCTGGCTGCACAATCAAACAATAGTGAACAGGAATTTAGTCGAGTTCTCCAAATGGGAACCTCCCATGCCTCTCCCATGATAACATGTCCTTGGAATGGAACATCATCAGCTTGCCCTTTTCTCTAGCCGCCATCTACATGTTGGTCGAGTCGCTGCGGAATGGCCTCGTACTGCTCTTCAACAGCCTACCTGAATTTGCTTGCTCAACAAACTTGCCCTGCTTTCCCAGTACATCCACACGTAAAGTTTTCGGCATCTCTACTTCGGTTGGTATTGGTGGCGAATTGTTCTTCAGTGCAGAGAAATTGTTGTAGTATCATAGTTTCATAGGATGCTAACTTAATGTTGATGGCGTAAGCGGAAGAAGTTGTAGGTTACTTTATCCCAGTCGATTGTATTATTTGTTGAAGTGATGCATTTATTGCGAAGCCTTCCACTAATATTTTGACAATCACAATTCACAAGTTTAAGTGATTCAATTACTAAACATCTCCTTATCGAGGATAAAAAGGGTGGTGAGGCTTATTGACCCGCCAAGTTATTTGGGACGATTCCTTCATGATGATGAGATGGGTGTGACTTTTGAGCGTCGAGTTGTAGCCTTGGCTTTCCTGTAATCCCTCTTTTCCCCTGTTTTTCTCCCTTTTTGGCTTGCGCCTCCCTTGATGTAAAAAAAAAAAAAAATACTTATGCTAGCTAAACTAGTAAATTTTTTTATGAATAAGACTCTTTTATTCATTAAGATAGAGTGGCAGGGAATAATTAACAAAATATAAACTCAACAAAACTCAGAATTAAAGCTAATGAATAATTAACAAAGACAGATTCCTCTGTCAACTATGGATCATGATTAGTGCAGTCAAAATCCTTTCGAATTGGCTAATTTAGAGAGATTTCTCTTCACAAAAGCCAACCAAAACACAGCAAGTGATCGAAAGGACTTAGGTCAAAGAAAGAAAATTCTAGCTGCAATCAATTATGCACTTGGTTATTGGATGTATTTTGTAAATGGATTTCATTTAGTAATTGAGACGACATAATTTTAATGCAATCTTAGCTGCACTCATTTACATAGAAAGTATGATTGGGGAAATGTTTGCATTATCTGTACACCAATGTCCATATCCCCCAATCCATATAGAATGAACAATGAGTGAATCCATCTAGTATATATACACAGTACATTCGTAGTATCGCAAGAAGAAAATAGTACATTCATGCTTTGAAAACCTTGTCTTGCTACAAAGTTGCCATGAAGAGGATTGCTAGTATGTAGTAACAGATAGTATCTCAACTTGCATACTCTTTACTAAGCACCGTATATTCTGGCCTCTCAATTGTTTCCATGACGAGAACACTAAGAGATTCGAAGTACTCTTTCGCACTCTTCTTCTCTTTGTACGAAGATCTAACAAGCTACTGACTAGACAACACGAAAGGAGTCAGATATCTTCTTCAACTCCGGGTAATGTCTCTTCCATTGAAGACCTGCAAAACAAATATTAGATCAGCCAATCATCTCTCTGATTATCTGCATCCCTGGGACAGCATGAGAACTTGTTTACCATTTGCAGTGACATTGAACAAGTAAAGGCGGTTTCCTGCAGCAGTTGCTGTGATGAGTGCATGAGGCGGCTCAAGCTCGAACTGGTAGTATGTTCTTCCACCATGTTCTGCTACATTCATGCTTAATACCTTCCCTTCTACATTCTCCCCAATCACTTCAGGTCCGAATGCGCTTATCACTCTATCTGGAGGCCCGATCTGTTCGATTCTAGCATCTTCACCCAGATCTATGTCAAAGAGCAAACGTTGAGATACTATGATTAGGAGATTTACATACAGAATCAACATATTATAATGGTAGTAGTGGTGAGACTCACAGTCTGCAAATCTAAGAACTGGTGCAACAATGACAGACAGTCGTCCTTCCTTGGAGTTGGCGAATCTCAAATCGATCTCAGTCCCACCAAGATCAGCAATTGAGACTGGAACCTTCATAGACACAAAACAAACAAACCAGGTAAACTGTAAGGATTCAACTTGATTGATGGATTCCAAATTGATAGATACTGAGAAGTATATCGATATAAAAGTTGGGATTGATTTAGGAAATAGATTTTGAAATTCATTGTTTTGGTTGGTGCATTGTTTGTGATTCCCATTATTAAATGACGAAGTGGGGGAGTGGACCTATGGATTCTGAAGTCTTGGGAAGTTATGGCCTATGATTTAGGAATCATTCATCAAGCCACAAATTAGACCGAGGCAAATAATGGATTTCAAAAAAATCCACTTACTAATGATGCTGCCTCTGTCTAATGGATTCTAAAGAGACTTCACAGTTCCTAAGCTTTTACTTACAATATGATGATTTAACTTGAACATCAAATGACATTCATTATCTGTTACAACTCACAAATTAGTTTTTACTACCTCTTCCCAACCTTGAGGCACTGAGAAAGCATATGGGATGATTGGACTCCATCCAACACCGTGCCCTCCTGACTTCTCATCCGGCCTTCTGTATGTCCTCCAACCTGTCTGATCAGTTTTCTCAATTTTCAGATTTGAACAAAATTCTTCACCCATAAACCCCATATTCTACCTGTCCAATTTGGAGGGGGGGAAAAGTTGAGAGATAACTAAGTAGAGGAAACAGTACTAACCTTGTTCATCTGGGTCAGATAATCCAGGTACCCTCCCAGCCAAAAGACCCTGCTTCACAACCGCCATTCCTTCTCCAGTAACTCCCAACACTGTAGAGGACGACAGTAAGGAAACCCCGTATCCCACGACCGACCTTCTAGTAAGAAACCCATCATCCAATTTCCCATCTTTAAAGTTGCTGCTTTCATGGGAGTCATCGGGAGTTGCTTTGGCGACCAAATGACGGCGAGGAATTGATTGTCGCGGGAAGCTGCTACCGCTGCATCTCAAGGGGAAAGTGGATACGGAAAATAAGGTTACTCCCATCCTTTCTGAAACCGGCGGATTGTTGAGCTTTCTGCCGATTCCCCTGCTTGTGCTGTTCCCCTGAAGATGGGTTTTGGTGAATGAACTAATTATGACCAGGATATGCAAAGTGATCCGAGAGGATTTTGGTGGAGCAGAGAAATTGAAATCACCAACCTTTGGAAAATGTTGCAGAAAAAGCAAGTGTGTGTAGCTTGTTTGTTTCTCTTGGTGGTGGTGATTGCAGTATGGATGCGGTGCAAAATGCAATCGGCGGAAATTGGTGGTCAATAGAACAAATTCAGTAGTGCGGTTGCCAGGCTAACACCTGGCGTATAGTAAGGTAAGATGGTTGGTCAATTCCATTGTCTTTCTTTTACCACTTCTTGGTTTGGGCTCTCTTGTAGACGTACTGCACCATACTGGGCCGCTCCTTTTGGTATTTCAGATTTTCACAGTAGTGGGCCTGATCAGTAGGAACGCCTCGTGATTCGAACATCTGGAAAGCGAGAATTTTCATCTGGTACCAAATGAATTGAGAATTCATTTCACTGTAAAATGAATTACCATGTAGAATTCATTGTCAAATGAAATCCTATGTTTGGTATGTTATAATTCAAATCTTTAGAAATAAAATGAAGTGTCGTGTAGAATTCATTGTCAAATGAATTCTTGTGTTTGGTATGTCGTATATATAAGTAATTTAGTTAATAAAAGAAGGTAACTATGTAATTTTATTATAATTAGTAAATATTTGTGGAATTCATTTGGAAATTTCTATCTCAATTCCTCGGAATTGCTATAACTAGCTCCAATTCCGTAGAATTCAAAATTTAGAATTGAAAATGAATTCTTTTAAATACCAAACGCAAAAAGATTTCATTTCAAAATGAATTCCACAAAACTTATGGAATTCATTTATACCAAACGGTATGTTAGTCACAATTAGGACTAAACTCACGAGTTTATCCGTCAAACCTAAACTCATGAGTTTATCCGTCAAAAAAATCCGGGTTAAAATCCATTGGATTAGAAAAACTCAAACCCAACTCAACTCATTGGGTATCCGCGGGTTCATGTTAGAAACAAATAATTTGCATCTTTTTGTTATTTCGTATTATTGTCGGTCTTTGATAATTGGGGGATTATTTGGGGTATTTAGCAATAAGCAGGGAGTCGATTGTTACGTTTTATTAGTTGGGTAGGAGTTAGAGAATTGGGGGATTATATAATCTGCAGTAGGGTGTTATTTTGACATTAAGCAATCAATTACAGAAAGCCAAAACTAATCTCCCTCTCTTTCCCTTCCCTCCTGCGCTGACCCTTCCTCTCTCTTCTTCTTCCCCACGCTGCGGCAGCAGCAAGCTTCCCCTCTCCCTTCTGTTCTCAATTCCCAATTTCAAATCCCTAGCTCGGTCAATCCCTAATTGGCCTAGCTAATTCCCCAATCCCAAACCCGTTAGAAACTTTGTTTCTAACATCTGGTATCAGAGCCTGGCTCGAGAGTGAGTTCTTTTGAGCTCTTGAACCAGGGAAGGCAGCAATGGTATCGACGAAATCAATGAAAGCGGCAGAGAAGGCGGCTCAGGCAGCCGAGAGAGGCACCGATGCGGGCGACGTAGGGCTCGACGGGGTGGTGGAGGATCTTACGGAGATCGAGGAGCTGAGGAAGGTCGTGGAGACACAAACAGAGAGGCAAGCGCGGGTGGAGGAAGAGCTGAATGGGCTGCAGAGGAAGGCCAGAGATCACGGCCGCACCCTTGACGCGCTGTTGGCGGCGGTGGAGGCGTTGCAGGGGCAGGTGAGCAGCCTGACGGAGGCTTGGAAGAAAGGTGGGGCCGGAGTTGGCGCTGGCGGGCAGCCGCAGGTGGAAGGAGGAGCGCCGGGGAAGGGCTCCGCCTCGGTAGCGGCGCTCGGCAGCCAAGGCGCCGCGCGGGTCCCGGCGGACAGGGAGGCGGACGGGTCGGGCGAGAAAGGGGATCGGCGGCGGCCAAACCTAGTCGGCCACCCGTCTCGCGGACGAGCCACGTCTCTTTCGGCCCAACAACCAAGGACGGGCTGTTACCGCCCCAACGACCCAGGAGGTGGCGCGCGCGCGCGGCAAGGCCAAGATGACCGAGTACGTGGATCCGGACTTGCAAGCGGGCGTGGACGGGGAAGAGCTGGTGGACCTGGAGTAGGAGTTTGAACATGGGCCATGGCCCAACGAGCTGTATAGGTCAGGGGCGGAGTACATAGGGGACGAAGGCAACCAGGTGGGCCGATCCGGGATGGAAGGTGGGCCGGGAGGAGGTCGGAGGGAGGCGGGCCGCGGCTGGGAGATGGGGCGGCCGGGAGCCGTGGGCCGAAGCCCCTCGGGCCGGGGCGACGTGGGCCGAGCAGGGCCGAGTCGGGCCCCCAGTGGTCGGGCCAAACCCGGGCGGACCGATCCCGTTCGAATCGGACCGGGTCGAACCATTGTCGAACCGGTTCAACCGGCGAGACACGTCGTACAGGCGGGCAGCAGGGGTTACCCAGCTCCTCAAGGCCAGTTCGACGAGTACAGCGAATCTCACCCCCCTTTTGCGAATCAACGGGGCACCGGAAAGGAACCTATGAGGGCGGGAACGGGTGACCGAAGACAGAGGAATGAGTTAGGCCGAAGAACGAGATATCAGGAGGAGGAGGTGGACGACTGGGGGTGCGAAGGGGACCCGCGATTCTCGCAGCACTATCACAGTGGGGCCCCAAGCTATGGGAGGAATGCCGGTTATCCCCGGGGTGGTGAGGAAGAGGATGACATGGTGTTTAGAGCTAAACCCCCCACCATTGAGTTTCCAAAATTCAATGGTCGTGAGGATGTAGGTCTGTGGTTATACTCAGCGGAACGATGGTTCAAGAACCACCCCACTAGGGAAGAACGGAAGGCTCAGCTAGCTTCCTTCTACTTGGAGGGGGATGCACTGCAGTGGTGGGAATGGATGGAGCGGACCTATGCAGAAGCTCATACGCTAATCACTTGGCCTATGTTTAAGGAGGAGTTGCGGTACCAGTTCAGAAAATCTGAAGGATGGGCTCCGGAGCAGCTGGCCAAGCTGCGTCAGACAGGGACGGTGGCGGAGTATAGGGCTGAGTTCTTCAAACTGGGTAACCAATGCAAGGGCGTGCCAGAAGAGACATTGGTGGGCCTATGCATGGCGGGACTCTGTCCGGAGATTGCAGCTGCTGTCCGGGTATTTGAGCCAGATTCACTACGAGCTGTTTTCCGTCTTGCAGGTAATAAGGAGGAGGAACTGGCTAGCTGGCGGGGAGTGATAGGCCGATATCAGAAGCCGAGCGGAGGAGGAAATGGTAGCGGGCTGAGTAGCGGGTCGGGGAGGATTCAGGAGCGGAGCAAGAGAAGCTTTAACCTTGAGGACAAGGTAGCTTCCCAAGGAGGCAGGGATGTTAGAAACAAATAATTTGCAGCTTTTTGTTATTTCGTATTATTGTCGGTCTTTGATAATTGGGGGATTATTTGGGGTATTTAGCAATAAGCAGGGAGTCGATTGTTACGTTTTATTAGTTGGGTAGGAGTTACAGAATTGGCGGATTATATAATCTGCAGTAGGGTGTTATTTTGACATTAAGCAAACAATTACAGAAAACCTAAACTAATCTCCCTCTCTTTCCCTTCCCTCCTGCGCCGACCCTTCCTCTCTCTTCTTCTTCCCCACGCTGCGGCAGCAGCAAGCTTCCCCTCTCCCTTCTGTTCTCAATTCCCAATCCCTAGCTCGGTCAATCCCTAATTGGCCTAGCTAATTCCCCAATCCCAAACCCGTTAGAAACTTTGTTTCTAACAGTTCATGGGTACTGATATGATCCCAATTGGACCAATCCACAATTCACAATTACTTGTCAAAGAAGCCATCTCAACTTACAAGAAGAATTCTGATTTTTGGCCAAGTGTTGGGACAGTTTTGAGATACCTACTTTGGAGGCATGGTTCTCTCAATTGGCTTGGTGGAAATTCAAGGTTAACGGTTTTTTTTAAAGATAAAGTTTCCATCTTTCCAATGGTATACTTTTTGGATCCAGAAGATGTCATTAAGGTTGTTTTCCAATACCTCAAAGTTGCTACCTCAAAACTGGAAAACTGCCAGAAAATGGCTATAAGGCAGAAAACTGTTTTGTGAAGCCTACTTTGGAGGTCAATTCAAGGAGCATGGATGGGATTCAAGTCAAAAGGCTTCCACAACATGAAACTAGGTATGTTTGTGAACAAAGGGAAGGAATTGGATGAAGAATTGGATGAAGAATTGGAGTTCGTGAAGGCCTCGAACGAAAGGCGTGAAGTTAGTACGAAAGCTGCCTTTTGACTGTTTTGCTGGCAGCTTACTTGTGCGTCAAGAAAGGAAGTTTGTGGCCGCAATTTGTACTATTTTTAGAGTTTGTTTTTACCTTAATTGTTTCCTAGGTACATTAGGTTTGTATTAGGTTTATTTGCCTTTAAATACCCTTCTATTTTCGTTGTAAAAACATAAGACTTTGATTGATCGAAAAACAAACCTTTGGTTTTGTGCAAGTTGCGACATGTTTGAGTTTGGTGGATTCCAAGCTTGTGAGCTTTGTATCGATTGAATATCCTGTTCAATCGTGGTCGAGAAGCTACCCTTTTATACCATACGAGCTTTCCCCAGGTGTGGAATTGTCCGTTGGTTCGGTTTTATCCAATTTTCGTATTAAGAATGCGTTGTTCATAATTCGAGTACAATCAATCTTCGGATTGATTGTTTGCTGCGTGACTTTGATAAAAATACACCCTCAAGGGTCGTATTAGGTACCATGAGTTCACCATAAACCGCATATTCTAATTGTGATTTGTTTGAATTTTTTTTACGGTTGTTTTATGTATGTATAATTTGTATGGGAAAATTGATGTAGGTCGTTTAGAGTTGTGTTTGTTGAATACATGTATTGTGCACAATACAATGTTTGGAAGTGAAAAAGTGTAAAACAATGCATGCATTGTTTTAGGTAGGTCCCACCAACAATCACAAAAAATGATGCATTATACAATCTCAACTAAAAGTTGAGATTGTTGTGATTGTTGCTTTTAGATTTGTGTCAACTTTTTCTTTTCATTTATATCCCTAATAGTTTTTGTCGTATACTAAAAGTTGAGGGTAAATATGACCTTTCCCCATAAAAGTAACTTTATGTAAATCAATGCATAAAGTAGAATCTCAACAACCAAATAATGTATTGTTAAAATGCATCCATTGTATCAATACATGCATTTATATTATGATGATTCATTACAATGCAACGATTTAACATTCGCAACTTCCAAACGACCCATAAAAGCACACAAAATAAGTATAGTGAGAGTTAGATTGGGGGAAAGTAGAATTAGGGTAGGGTTTGGGGAGAGTAGGGCGACAGAATAAGTGTGAGCGGGTATCCATGGGTCAAGTGCCCCT